TCCTGGAATCAAACCCTGAGCCCAGCATCAGGCTCCCTGATCATCAGGGAGTCTGCTTCTGCTGCTCCCCCTGCTTGTGCTCATTCTCTCTCAAATAAATAAATAAATAAATAAATAAATAAATAAATACCTTTAAAAAATAGCTCATGTTCAGTCTCTATGGAGGGCGATTTAGTAATGCTATCAAAATAAAATATACCTACCCTTTGACCTCCAATTTTATTTCTAGCAATTAAAAAAAAAGATTTTATATATTTATTTGGCACAAAGAGAGAGATAGCAAGAGGGAGAATAAAAGTAGGGGGAGTGGGAGAGGGAGAAGCAGGCTTCCCGCTGAGTAGGGATCCCAGGACCCGGGGATCATGACCTGAGCCGAGGGCAAACACTTAACAACTGAGCCACCCAGGTGCCTCTCTAGAAATTTTTTGATAGCAATACTCCCACATGTGTAAAACAAAATATGTTATTATTGTGGAACTTAAAAGAAAAGGATTTATTTATTTATTCGAGAGAGATTGAGCATGCATCTGTGAAAGCAGGGGAGGGGCAGAAGGAGAGGGAGAGAGAGATTCTCAAGCAGACTCCCGACTGAGCACACAGCCCAGCTATGTACGGGCTCTATCTCATGACCCTGAGATCATGACCTGAGCTGAAACCAAGAGTCAGACACTGAACCAGCTGAGCCACCCAGATGTCCCTGAAATTGTTTTTAATAGTAAGATTGGAAATGAATTAAAATGCCTCAAAGGGATCTAGTTAAATGGGGTGACTGATATAATGGAATACTACGTAGAAGCAGATATAACAATTAACGAGGGAGCTTTTTGATACTGACATGGAATTATGGCCAAGCTATTTTCTAAGTGAAAAAGACAAGGGGAAGGATATACAGAGAATGTGGAAAAAAGGAGGAAGGGAATATAAGTGTATATATTTGTAAATTACCTCTGGAAAAAACATCAGAAACAGTGACAGTGGTTGCTTCCAGGGAGGGCACTGTGGTGTTTGAGGGTCAGGAGTGGAAGAGAGACATTCCACTGTTTACTTGTTGATATTTTCTGAATTTTGATCCATATGAATACCCAAAGAAAGGAAATAAAGTTAAAACCAGAAAAGAAAACGAAAACGTAACTTGCTCTGATTTACACAAAAAGAATGTCTCATGAACCATGTTCTTTTCTTTTCTTCCAGGACCTCCATCCTCAGAGGATTGGCTTTTAATCAACCTGGACTTTTCCTCATGATAGCAAGATGGCTGCCACAGCTCAGGCATTATGTTCTCACACAAACATCCTCCACACAAGAAAGAAGGGACAAAGAAAGCCAAACACTTTCTCCTAATGATGTTTTTTGTCCTGGGAAGGAAGACTTCCCTATATACACCATTGGTCAGAAATGGACCTCATGTCCATCCTAAACCAATTTCTGGCAGAAGGAAATGGGTTTACTGGCTCCTGGGATTAGGGAAAGGGCCTCTTCTGCTAATATCATGGAATCTTTGTCCTAGTGCAGAAATGGGGTTCTGTTCCTAGGAAAGGTACAGAAGTCTGCTGGGGGGGTTTGCAGAAAGAATTTATCACAGTCGTCAATGTGAACCACTCCATCTTTTGAAAATAAATAAATAAATAAATAAATAAATAAATAAATAAAAACTTCATTACCCTAGGACAACATAGCCCCACATCTCCCACTGCCAGTACTCTATACCCAGTTATGTCCATCTCTCTTATGGACTGCTGCCTTAGCCTCCTTCATGGGCTCCCTGCAGCCATGCTGTCATCAGTCTGTGTTGCCTTTGTCCCCTGTGTGATATAGGAGTGGCATTCTCAGAAGTCAAGTATGGGAGGCTAGCTGGATTCAGATCCAATTGTCCCCTTCTCACCTCTTCTTGTATATGGTTCTTTCATTCATTCATTCTTTCTTTCTTTTTTTTTTTTTTAAAGATTTTATTTATTTATTTGACAGACAGAGATCACAAGTAGCCAGAGAAGCAGGCAGAAAGAGAGGAGGAAGCAGGCTCCCTGCTGAGCAGAGAGCCTGATGTGGGGCTCAATCCCATGACCCTGGGGTCATGACCTGAGCTGAAGGCAGAAGCTTTTAACCCACTGAGCCACCCAAGCACCCCTGGTTCTTTCTTTTGAAGATAACAATCAACAGGCTGTCCTCATTGCTTTTCTATCAGCTTTCATTCTAGGGAGAGCTCCTCTCAATATAAAACATGCTCTGTTGGTGTGGCTTGGAGCCTGTTAACTCAGCTCTGGTAAAATAATCATGGGCTGTGTTATAGGCTGAATCATGTCCCCCCAAATTCATATGTGGAGGTCCTATACCCCAGTACCTCAGGACACGACTGTGCTTGGACATAGTCTTTAAAGAGGTAATTAAATTAAACTGAGGTCATTAGGGTGGGCCCTTATGCAATCTGACCGGTGTCTTTTTTTTTTTTTTTTAAGATTTTATTTATTTATTTGACAGACAGAGATCACAAGTAGGCAGAGAGGCAGGCACAGAGAAAGGGGGAAGCAGGCTCCCCGCTGAGCGGAGAGCCCGATGCGGGGCTCGATCCCAGGACCCTGGGATCATGACCTGAGCCGAAGGCAGAGGCTTTAACCCACTGAGCCACCCAGGCGCCCCTGACCAGTGTCTTTATAAGAGGAGGAGATTAGGGGTCCCTGGGTGGCTCAGCTGGTTGAATGTCCGGCTCAGGTCATGATCTCCTGAGATGGCACTCTGCACTGGGCTCGTGCTCAGCACAGAGTCTGCTTGTCCCTCTCTCTCTCTGCTCTTTCTCTCATTAAAGAAAAAAGGAGATCAGGACACAAACAGGAGGGAGAAGACCACGTGCAGGGAGAAGGCAGCTATCAGGAAGCCAAGGAGAGAAGCCTCAGAAGAAACCCACCCTGCTGACACCTTGATCTTGGACTTCTAGCCTCCAGACTGGTGAGAAAATACTTTTCTGTTCTTGAAGCCCCCAGCTTGCAGTGCTTTGTGATGGCAGCCCTAAGAAATTCACACAGACTGGTGTGGTCCTAAGTGTGAACGGTGCCCCCTAGGGCCTTAGCACCGTTTCTTTAAAAAAGCTTTCATCTGTTTTATTTTGTTGAAAAATGTATAAAATTTGGTTTTTATCTAAATACATTGGAGCAATGTTTAAGGATTCACGTAGTCTGGCTCTGGCATACTGGAAGAGAGGGGGGATTAACTCTAAAGATACAGCTCTCTATAGCTTTAAAAAAAAAAACACTTAAAAATTTTTTTTTTATTTTATTAGAGAGAGAAAAAGAACAGGGGGAGGGGCAGAGGGAGAAGCAGACTCCCCGCTGAGCAGGGAGCCTGACTCAGGACTCAATCCCAGGACCCCGGGATCATGACCTGAGCCAAGGGCAGATGTTAAACTGACTGAGCCACCCAGGTGCCCCATGACTTAATTCTTAAAAAAGGAATTTGGATCTAATACTTTCATGGTCAACCTTAAATAACCCATCCGCTCCATTGGCTCAGATGGCTACGTGTCCCGCAGCCACGCCATCCTGATGAGCGCCAGCGACAGAGTTCTTAACACTAGACCCACACAGTGGCCTTTTATGGAAGGCGAAGTCCTCTGGCAGCTTCTTCCCTCACAATCCTTCATGTGCAGGTTGTCTCCACCAGGCAGTGAGATAGATAAATTCTAGGGCCCAAACATTTCCTAGTAGAAGAGCTTGAGAAGATTTAAAGTCCTTTTGGGGAGCAAAATAAGACAAAACGGAATAAACAAGTAAAAATCACGAGAGCCCCTTCTGAAGGAGCACCGAAGGAGGTCGGCCTGGATCTCTTCACCGACAGAATGTGAACTTGGTCTCTCATATTTTATCTCTGAAGTGCGTGTCTTTCCCTTTGACCGGCCAGGTTGAAAGAACACTCTTCCACTTTGCACTGTGGCTGGGGGTGTGAGAGTTGGCTCCGACTGAATGCCTGGGGGACGTAAAGGAGATCTGCTTATTTGAGAAAACCAGTCCCCCGCCCCGCCCCCACCTACTCCTCCCCACCACCACTTTTTTTTTTTTTTTTAAACCTTTTCCGGGGGAAATTCTATACAGGTGTGTGGTTTGTGAAGGTTTTACCTCCAGAGCCAGACTGACTGGGTGGAAATCCAGCTTTGCCGTTTGCAGCTGAATTGGGCAAGTCATTTACCCTCTCTGAGTCTCAGTTTCCCCATTTGTTCAAGGAGAATATTGAAAGTATCTCTCTCAGGGAGATGCAGTGAGGATTGCATAAGTTAGTATTATAAAGTGTCTGGAGCACTGTCTGCCACCTTGTCAGCGATCCCAGGCTACCACTGTTATCACCTAAATTACATACACCAGCCCTTTGTAGGATTGTATTTTAATGTTTTGACCTTTGCCTTTGACATTGCCCCAGTGGAACAGCGTTTCTCTGAGAATCCCAAGAAAATGAGTGATCTAGGTCTCAATCTCTTTATTTGCATGTGGTTACAATTTATAAATACACTTGCCATTTTCCTCCCCCTCCCAAACTCTCCCTTCTACCCAGTAACTGTGTCCAAACCCCCCAGTTGTCAGTCATTCCCTTTCCCATCCAGGCAGAGAGGGGAGGGGCGGTCCTCCATGAACCCCATCTTCCTACAGAGTCTACTTCAGTCCGTGTGAAGGGTGGGCTCTCAAAGGGCCTCTGAAGCTTGGGGATGAGCACCACGAATCTGCTGGAGGTCCCGCGGATGTCCTCGTCTGTAACCATGTGACCGGCTTCCTGCTCGGCCATGCGGAGGCTGCCGAGTGCCGTGGTGGGCAGCAGTGAGCATCACATGCCCGGTCTGTGCTGGAAGCTGAGCTGTCTCAGGCCCCGTGGGCAGGAGGGTCTGCAATGAAGTCTCAGGCCCGCTCAGCTGCTGGTGAGAGTCTTGTGGGGGGTACCTACCCAGCCAGTGCCCGGCCCTGCTCTCGGAGGTGCGTCTGAGGCCTGGCCCCTCACGGTCTGCCTCTTAGGGGCCCGACCCAGGCCCTCGGTCAGTCCTGGGTGGGTAGGGCAGCCTCAGGGAGAAGGTGCTCTTGCACGTCCCTTCTCCTGACTGTTCCCAGACACCAAGAGGCATGGGTGACAAGTTGGGTCCTTGGCTCTGTTAGAGGGCGTGGCAGCCCAGTGTCTCTGTTTCAGCCAGATGCCAAGCTTTGCCATCCTCCTGGTAGGGTGTGGAGAGTCCAGGAGGGCCAGGGGCACCCTCTTCAGGGGTGGGGTATGGAGGCTCTGGGGAAGCAGGGGGGTCTCCGGGGCCCCGTGCTCCCCCCAGGACTGGCCCATTGTAGATGTAGATGTTGCCGGTGACAGTCACAGACCCACCGGTGACATGAATGCCGCTGGTACCTGTGGGAAAGGAGGCCGACTGAGAGGGGCTGATGGCAAGCTGTTGGGAGTCTCTGTCTTGCTCTGCTTCAGTCTTCTTATTTCTGTCTGGCCCACACTTGCCTCCTGCCCACCATCCCTCCCACCCCACCCTTCCTTCCCTCCCCAGTCTCCTCCCTTCTACCTGCCCTAGGCTCACCATGGGCCACCTGGCTTTGCTCTGGGAGCTCGGGCTCCAGCTCCCTGGCCTGGCTGAGAGGACTCTGTTGCTGCAGCATCTCTTCCTCCAAACCTGGGGGTGCTGGGAGCCTGGCCGAGGCGGGGGCCATGTCTCCAAAGGGCAGAAGTGGCTTTACCAGGTCAGGGAAATGTGGGTTGACCCTTGGAGGCTCCCAGCTTCCATCAGCGGTATTTGAGTCCTCTCCCTGGAGGAGAGAGGCAGAGAACCAACTGATGACATGGGTCTTGGATCCCAGCTTTCTTGAATTCCCACACCCCATCCCATGCTTAGGCAGCTCACTGTTCTCCTCTACTCCACTTCATGCTCCCTGCCACAGGGCCTTTGCACTTGATGCCCCTCTTCCTGGGGCACTTTCCCCGAGATGTTCTGATGGATGGCTCCCTCATTTCTTCAGCTCTCTGCTCAGATATCAGTTTGTCAGAGAGGCCCTCTCTGTCTACTCTAAGATAATGTACCCCCACCCTTTGCCACTCACTGTCCCCCTACTGAGCTTTATTTAGCAACTATCATCCACTGATACGTATTTCTTTAACTTTAGTCTTGCTCCCTTGGCCCATAACTCCAGGAGGGCAGGAACTTTGCTTTGTTCACTGCTATATCCATGGTGCCCAGAACAGAGCCTGGCACATGGTAGGCTCAATCACTTATTAGTTGAGTGGATATTGAAGCCTACACACTCTTACCCTGCCTACCCCACCCTGTTCACTTAGCCCAGCCTGGCCCTCCCTGCTGCCTTCTCAGCCTTCCCCATTACCTCTGGACGCCTCTTCAGCAGAGATCCTGCAACAGAAAATGAAATGGGGGTCAGGCCTCCAGTAGGCCCTAGGCCCCCTGGCTTGCTCCGTTCACAGCCTACCGGGGTGTATGCCCCCCACCGTGGGTTCCCAGGGCTATCGTTGCCCTTATCTCCAGCCTAAAAATAGGGGGCTGGGTGGAGAGAGTGTCCATGCTGGGGGCGGGCATTGCAAGTCTTCCCTCCCTCATGCAGGTTGAGGGCAGCCAGCTGGCCAGGCCTGCCTCCCTGCCTGTATCCAGCTTCTTCCTACCTAGCTTCCTGCAGAGAGAGGGGTGGCTCTTCCAGGTGCAGGCCAGGACGGTGGTGAGGAGCAGGAATGAGGCCAGTGGCAGCAGGATGGCCAGCACCATCATAGTTCCTGTGGGGACAGCAGACAGGAGAGCCATGAGGACACTGGAAAGGGCAGGGTGGGCGGGGTGGGGAGGTAGCTAAGGACCAGGTTTCCAGTAGTCTGGGCGACCTACAGAAAAGGGGGAGCAGCTTTTCCCTTCCAGACCCACTACAGCTCCTAAAGGCAGAATTAGAGAAATTTCCCTTGGGTTACAGAGAAGGGAAACCAAGTCGGACTTGGAGAGGACCTGCTGACAGCCAGGAGCAACTCACGGATGGAGATCTTTGGGGGTGGTGCTGGTGGCCACCACATAGAGACCAGGGAAAGAGGCAGTTTGTGGGTGAGAACAGATGCATGCTCAGTTGGGTTTCCAGGGCTGGAAGAGGGGGTGGGAGGCGGTACAGGGAGGGTGGGGCTTGGGTTTGTAAGCAACTCAGGACACAGGGTAGAGCAACACTTCTGTGGACGTGCCCATCCTAGAGAGAGGCCACTGTAGGGGATGAGATTGCCCCTCTGTCTCTGTGGGGGTGTTTCTGGGGGTGAGAGAGGAGAGGCTGCAAGTTCCCCATCTCCTTGCTTAGGGCCAGTTCCAGGAGCGGGAGGGAAGGGAGGCTGGGACTTGGGTTTCTCAGATTCCGGTATGTAGCCTTGGTAATTTCTGTCTTTCACAGCAGAGTCTATAGTGCCCATCACATGTGTCTGGAGAAGGTTAGGAAGGATTGGAGAGCTGCATCCTGGAAGCTTGCCCTTTCTGATCCACCTAAACCTAGGGTTTAAGGGAGGATAGAGTCGGAGGCCTGGGAAAAAAACTGAACCTGGAGTCCTAGACATCTGGGTTCCAGCCCAGTTGGGTGACTTTTTATCATTCCTCCTTTTGGAGCATATCAAAGGTAAAATGAGGGGGTTAGGTACATACGGTCTAAAATTCCAGCTCTAAAGTGCCAGTGGCATGATGCATGGTTATAAAGTAACAAGAGGACATGGAAAAAGATTTAGGATATATTTGAGTGAAAAATCAAGTTACAAAATATTCAAATGACTCCACTTTTAGAAAAACAACTGGAAGGATATATTAAGAAATGTTAAGAGTGGATATGCTAAGTGATGGTCCTGTGGGTGGTTTTTAGTTTTGTTTCTCTGAATTTTCTGATTTTCTACAGTATGCATACATTTATGGCACAGGCTCTGGAGTAAGAAAGAACCGAGTATAGGTTTTCATAACATCAGTTACCACCTGTGTGATCTGGGGCAAGTCACATGAACTCTGCCGAGCCTCCTTCCCTCCGTGAGCATAATAACAGAACTACAGTTGACCCCGGAACAACATAGGTGTTAGGGGCGCCGACCACCGTGCAGTCGAAAATCCATGTATAACTTTTGATTCCCAAGAAGTCTTCACTCTGAATAGTCTGCCGTTGGCTAGAAGCCTTACCAGTAACACAGCTGATTAATGCAGGTTATGTATTTATATACTGTGCTCTCACAATAAAGTGAGAGCAAAGAAAATGTTAGAGAAAATCATAAGAAAGAGAAAATGATTTACAGCACTGTGCTGTATTTTTTGAAAAAAAAGCCACATATAAGTGAAACTGCGCAGTCATGTTGTTCAAGGGTCATCTGTACTTTGTAGAGTCATTAAGCAAGATTAAAAGAGTTAGGGACGCCTGGGTGGCTCAGTGAGTTAAACATCTGACTTTGGCTCGGGTCATGATCCCAGTGTCCTGGGATGGAACCCTGCTTCAGACTCCTTGCTCAGTGGGGAGCCTGCTTCTCCCTCTCCCTGCCTCTCCCCCTGTGTGTGCTCTCTCTCTGTCTCAAATAAATATTAAAATCTTAAAAATATATATTAAATGAGTTAGTGATTGTCAGGTGCCGACAGAGTGTCTGACACACTAGCTCTCGATAAATGAAAGATATCATTATTTGGTAACTTAAAAAAAGTTAATAAACTCTCTCCCAACTTATAATCTTTATAGTCATTAGAAATATCCCTCAATCATTTGCTGGGCTAGGAAACCAATAAGTTCACAGAAAAAAACAAACAAACAAACAAAAAGCAACAAACTGAGAAAGAGTCAAATGTGGGGTGAATTTTCTAATAATATAAGCGTGTAATCTAATAAACAGATTCTCAGTCTAGTAAGTAGATTATATGACGGTGGCAGGTCCAAAGTGATGACAGTGATGTCAGCTACAATTTCATGTCAGTAGGAGTGGTCCTTGGCACACATTGTATGTAACTTACAAGTTATATGTATATATATAACATTATATATATGTGTATACATATATATGTGTATATATATGTTATATATATGTTATATATGTGTGTGTTATATGTAACATATATATAACATATGTATACGCTATATATATAATATAACATATATAGTGTATACATATGTATATATATAACATAGAAAGAGTATATGTTAAGTTCGCCTAGGGATACTCCCTAAGGAACTTCTCCACTTGCCCCAATTCTGAGATGCATTCAGCTTTTCCCCACTTTTTGAGATAGAAGGAATAAAGGCATCTTCCAAGACTTCCCTCCCCACCCCCCGCCCCGCCCCTCCCCATGTGCCCCTCAGCCTCAGGCCCTCACCTGGCATCTCCGAGTGCTCTGGGGGATTTCTGCAGCTGGCGTCAGACCGGGCAGTGCCTGGAACTGCCTCCACCAGGCCCTGCTCCTCACACCTGCAGCAGAAAGAGAGGCCCAATTCAGGTGGGCACAGGGCTGGGAGTGGCAGGGTGAGCCCATGGGTGTGAGCATAGGGTGGTCAGCAGCTGGCACTTCTAGGATGGTGGGGGAGTGGGGTGGAGGGACACTCACCTTGTATGGGGCTGGCAGCGGGCCCTGGGGGAGGAGGTGTTCTGGAAGTGGCCTGCCTTACAGGGCACACAGTTTCTGTTAACTACCCCGACTTCATCTGGCAAGAGAAAAGCAAGGCCAGCCACGGTGAGTGGGCAAGGGTGGGGGGCGGGTCTTTCCATGCTGTGAATTTCCACCGTTCCCTGCCTGCCCGCCCATCTCATTCCTCGGCACCTTTCCTGATCTCCCTCTTGCTGAGAGAAGCTTTCTGAGATTCTGCCTCTGTCCAGGTGTCTCTGCAGACCCCTGTGGTGGGTCTTTCACAGGGAGAGAGAGGCAGCTCTTTATACCCAAGAGAACTACCTGGGGGGCTCCCCCCTCACCCCCCGCCCTGGATGGTGCTCCCTGCACCCAGCATCCTTCCTGCCCTCCTCCCACAGCAACCTCTGACCTGTCAGCTTGGCCTCAGTGCCTGGTGGGCAGTCTGAGAGTGGCTCACAGTGTACACACTCCGTGTCCCAGTGCACGCAGAACATTCCTGGTTGGCAGCGGCACTGGGTCTTCTGTCTGCTGGTGCAAGGCATGGTCTCCTCGAAGCCCAGCACTGGCAGGGAGACAGGAGAGCTCAGCGGAGGGCCCACGCTCTGGGAGATCCCAGCCTCCCCCAAGCCCCCTGCTACTCACTCTGGTCACAGGGGCGGCACAGCTGGCAGATGGAGAGATGGTTCCAGTGCTCGTTGTAGGAATTTTCGGGACACTGGGCACAAACGGTGTTCTGGCTGGGGCTGCATTCCACGGAGACGTGTGTGCCTGGAATGGGAGTGGGGCCCTGCAGTGTCAGGGGAGCCCGGATCCCCACTTGCCTCTGCAGCTCCGCTAGCTGCAAGACCCTGTCCTCTGCAGAGCCACCCACGAAGGATGGCTGCCTGGCTTTCCTGGGAGATGGTGTCTGTCTTCCCTCCGAGGCAGCAGTGGGGTGGGCCAGAGTCCCCTGCCACTCACCTCCCGTCGGGCCATTGCCTCTCACCTGGGGGGCAGCGGGAGCAGCAGACCTGATGCTTGGGTTCGTAGTACTCCTTTTCCCGGTCCCAGCACGTTCGGTTCTCTGTGTGGTATGGGGGCTCCTTCACAGGGAGATGGAGGTGGGGGGTAGAATTACTCAGGGGTCTGCTGGGGAGGGCAGAGGGACTAGAAAGAGGGCTGTGCAGACCCCCTTTTGCCCTCCCAAGCCAGCCACCACCCACCTACATGGGCCCCTCCCTCACCAGTCGGGCCTGGGATGCTGCCAGGAGACCGCAGAGGCCCAGGATGAGAGGCCCCCAGGCCAGGCCGCAGGGGGAGGCGGCCCATGGCAGGCGCATGGCGGCCAGTAGGCCAGTCGGCCAGATGGGTGGAGGCCGGGGCAGGAAGGTGGGAGGCCTGCACGTCCTGGGCAGTGGTGGCAGCAAGCTCCCAAGCCCAGGGCCTGGGACTGGGCTTGGGCTGACGTGCCCCCGAGGGCCGTGCGGCCGGCCCTGGCCTGGCCTCCAGGGCTCCAGCGCCGGCTCAGGAAGTGGGAGTGGAGTGAGCCGGCCTTCGGGGCGGGGACAGGGAGCTCTGGGAGCAGAGGCAGCTGTCGCAATCGGGGAAGAGGAACAGGCTTGGCCGCCCCGATGCAGGGCGGGAGGGGGCGGCCGGGAAAGCACGTGAGGGCAGCAGGGCCGGAACCAGGCCTCCTCCCTTCTTCGGAAGCCTGGCCAGCAGGGGAGGACTGCAAGGGTCGGCTAGGTGGGAAAGGGCAGCAGAGTCAGTGGACAATGCTCAGATGGGCCTCGGAGAGCAGGGCAGAGCTGGCTTGGAACAGAGAGAGACAGAGCTGTGTCCAGCTGGGTGCCAGCTCTGAAAGTGGAAGGGCCTGTGGTTGACAGACGTGGGGAGTGCAGGGACCCCCAGGGACCCACAGTCAGCCAGCCAGCCAGCTGCAGCATCTGGGAAACAGAAGTCCCATTTGGCATCCATCTGGATGCCTGGGAGTTCCTGCCCTGTTGTGTGACTTTTTAAAAGACAAGCTACAAAGGCATAACAAGTCAGACAGCCCTCCCTGTGCGTGATCCATTCCTGTGCCCACGTTAGTGGGCGCAGGTCACCAAGAAGACACTGCGGAGAGGGCAGCGGTCCCCGCTCCCCTGTTCTTAGATGACAGGGAAGAACGGGCAGACCCAGTACCGGAAGATGAGTAGGGGCAGCTGCCCTGGAGCTGGACAACCTTGGCCCTCAGTCCCAGCTTCCTCACCCAGGAGACTGAATCCCTCTGCATGGGAGGAGACTGAGAGCCCACCCGTCCAGCCCCCTCGCCTCAAGGGTGAGAAGACGGAGGCTGAGGGGGCCACTGAGAGGAGACCGGGATTCCAGGGGGTTTGGTCTTGTCCCTACCCCCTTTCTTCCCATCATTTCCCTGCGACCCATTAACAGCACCCTGATGTCCCCTGATGCCAGGCTCTCTGGTCTTTAGGTCTCTGTGCTCCTGGCTAGCTCCCATCTGTCCTTGAGCTTCAGCGGGGCTCTGGGGAGCACCCCCCCACCCCACCCAGGCTGCTCGGCTCCCACCCGACTGCAGTCTGGGACCTGCTGCTTTCTGCCTCCTGCCCCACCAGGCTGTGAACTCAGCAATGGTCTGGGTGGAATCTTTAAGTCCGGCTCCCAGTGCTTAGCCCAGTCTGGCCCATGCTCAGTGTTCGGTATGTATTTATGGAGTAAACGACGAGGCCTTGCTCATATCACCCAGACAGTCTGTGCAGACCCAGCCTGGAGTTCAGAGTTCCTGATTCCTGGGTTCCAAGCTCAACCAGCAACCATGTTGCCTCCTTGTGACTTGGACTGTGTCCTTTGGCGTGAGGGTCTGACTTACTCTCCGGAGATAGGTTGCCTAGGCACCGTACCACCCCTCTCCCTGCAGGGCCTTGCACTCATCCTTGCATTGGTTGGTCTGACTGGCTGGATAGGTCTTGGTGGGGAGCTGGGAAGTCCTGGTGCAAGAGTATGTCTGGGGAGGAGGGCTCCCAAGAGAGTGAAGGGCCTGCCTGAGTGTAGACAGCTCAGTTCACTCTCCTGGTACAAGCCTGAGATCTGTACTCTGTGGGCAAATGTTTATCCAGAGGGTCCAAGGCTGCCTGGAAAGGCAAGACATTTCAGAGCAGCATGCACAGCGTGGGGCTGCTGCTCTTTCCCGGTCAAGGAAACTGGGGGCTGGGACTGGACTCAGCACTGAGCTCTCCAGTGCATCGAGGCATGTCTGTGTGTGTGGGGTCCCCAGAGCCTTTTTTCTCCTTTTTCTTTTTTTACATTTTATTATGGAAATTTGCACTAGTATATACGTACACAAAAGGGGAGAAAATAATATTGTGAACTCCAGCTTGGGCTCATGGCAGTTTCCTCCATACAGCCTTCCTCCATTCTTCCAATCTTCCCTTGATTATTTAGAAGCAAACCCCAGACACAGATCATGTCATTTGAAAATATGGCAGGATTTGATCCAAAAGACAGGAGGAACTCCTGTTTCTTTTAACTGAGGTATAATTCATAAACAACGAAATGCATAAAGTACACTAATCTTATGCATACAGATCAGTGAATTTTCACTTTTGTATGTTTTTGTGTATCTCCCTACGACACTTCCTGTACTTCAAAAGGTTTCTGCTTCACAGGTAAGCACTATCTCAGATCTTTTTAAAGCCCAACTGGCTGGACTACGTTCTTTTTTCTGCTGCCAATCTCATGCTGTCACGTCAGCCTTCAAGGACTCTCTGGATCCTAGACGAGAGCCTTAAGATCTGGACTTTTATCCTGGTCCCATCACTTCCTCTCTCTGGGCCCCCCCCCCCCCCCCCCGCCTTTTGTCAGTCACCTGCAGGTTTGCTTACAGATCTGTTCTCTAGTTTCCTCGGCTCTGTGCTGTATTACTACTGGAAACTACATTTCCCAGATTCCTTTTTCCCCCAGCTTCTGGGTAGGTTCCGCCAATAGGAAGACAGATGGGAGGAAGACAGGTAGGTGGGAGGAGGAAAGAAGCCAGGCTCTTTCTCCCTGTCTCTCTGCTTTCAGACATCAGACCTCACCTGCGGTTGGTTGTGCTTCCTCCTTCTCTCCTTTCATAATCCCATCTCCTCTCAGGCAGCCCCCACCATTTACTTCCTGCCGAATGGCTTAGGAGGCCTCCAGGTCTATAATGCTACATGACCCTGCTGGTTTTCCAGTCCTGGAGGTGAGGTGGCTTCCTGCTTTGCTGCATTCTGGGTTGTCTGCTGTCCCCCTTGGCTTCTTATCTCCTTCATCACCCATGGACCAATCCCCTGGGTTAAATTTCTTCCACTTGAAAGACTCAGAGCTTTTCCTGTTTCTAGGCTGGACCACGATGGACAAAGCTTAGCAAGAAATGGTTATTATGCCCATCCAGCCCTCTCCAGGAGGATGAAGGAAACTCACAGTGGAGATCCATGAATTCTTTACGGACAGGGCATTGTCTTGGTTTCTTTCCTTTGTGTTCTTCGCCAGCTTCCTTCAAGTTGTACTGATTTTCTTTGGGCAGCGCCAGGCCTGGACGGTGTACCCCACAGATTCTCAGAACATTTGGGAGTGGGGCCCTTCTCTCAGGCCTTCCTCCAAGGGGCCTGCTGAGACATCCTTCTTCCCAGAGGTCCAGGAAGAATCCAAAAAGGGGGTTGGTGGGAATGGATTATTTAAAAATTTTTTTTAAAAAGATTTTATTTATTTATTTGACAGAGCACAAGTGGTGTGTGTGTGTGGGGGGGGGTGGCAGGCAGAAGGAGAGGAAGAAGCAGGCTCTCCGATGAGCAGGGGCTCAATCTCAGGAGGGCTTAATCCTAGGACCCTGGGATCATGACCTGAGTTGAAGGCAGAGGCGTAACTGACTGCGCCACCCAGGCGCCCCACGAATGGATTCTTTTGGATACTCTTTCTTTTTTTCCTCTTCCCCACACTGCTCTTAGCCAACTAGTGCCCTTAGAAGGGGTCTGGGAAACGCTGAGAGATGAGTCATGGGTGAGGGCCAGCCTCCTCCAGGTTGTTTGCATTTTCACTGGGGACCATCCTTCTCTATAATCCCAAAGAATCATCCAGTTGTCATTTGTGCCAAGGTAGAGAAATCCTGCTTTGACCCAAAGGAATAAACTTCTAATGGTGAACTTCTAAGCCTCCTGCCAGGTGACCGGAGTGGGAGTTGCAAGGAGGAATTTTCCATACCATGTAAGCGCAGATAGAAGTATCACTGTTTTCCACAGTGGGCAGCCCAGTGTTGAAACGCTAATTAGCTCTAAGTAGTGAGAACAGAGAGTTGCATTTAATTGAGTGACTCATTTTTTACACTAGAAAGGATAGAAGCTGAAATGGAAAAAGTGAAGGAAATGTAGATAAATTAATAGATGACAAATTAATAAGTTATCCAAGGAAATCAGAATGTTTGATGGAGATGCTTTCTTCTAGCGCATCGCTCTCTGTCAAAGATGAACCTTGAGTCTGAAGATGCTGATTTTGTGGTCTTCCGCAGAGTGGGTCAACAAAGAGTGACCAGTAGACAGTGGGGCAACCAAGACGAATAAGCCTAGCCCCTATTCTTAGAGAACTTAGCAGGATCTGTGCACACGCAGGCACACAAACCCACACATGCACACACGCACAAGTTAATAGTATCCAGCAGTAAGTGCCGCCATAGAATTCTCAAGGCTTCTCTGGGAGTGTGGGTGAGAAAGTGATTATTTCCATCATGTCCTGTTCCCCAGGGAGCAAGAGGCCAGAAGACCCTTTAAACTCAGGACCCTCATCACTGCAGACCCTCTATTTTACTTCTCTCCCTGTAGCCTTTTCCCATTTTATGGTCAAAGCCTAGGGTCAGGGGATGGCTAGAGCTGGGAGGGAAGGAACAGCTTCGTTTTTGGGAGAGTCTGGGGGAACTTCCAAACTGAGGACAATAAGGCCCTGGGTCCACAGCAGAGCAAGACTCCAGTTCTTTGGAAGTCAGGAGAACAACACTGAGCAGGGAAAAAAGAAGAGGCTCAGCTGTCCTACTGGCTTCCCTCCTAACTCCTGGGTGACTTTGGGCATGTCACTTTGCTTCTCCGGGGCTGTGGTTCCTTCTTGCATTAAGTCAATTGGAAGGGGCCTTTGGGACCATCTGGGCTGCCTCACCCTCACTTGCCCCTGCCATTTCACTTTTCAGATGAGAGCACAGGGGCCCAGAGAGGTAAAGTGCCTTTTTCAAAGTCACATAGTTTAAAGGCAAATATGGGAGGCACAGAATACCTATGACATGGTCCCATTTACGAAAAAAAAAAAAAAATACATGTAGGCCTATAAAAGCACACAAAAAGATCCAGACCAATATATAGATTATGACTGCTCTCCTTGGGCGGAGGGGTGGTGGGAAATGGAGCAAAGGGGAGCTTTTGTCATTCTGTGTATTTCTGTATTGCTGGAAAGCTGCAATGCCACAACAATGTGTTTGGGCATGATTTCTGCACTTTCAAAGATCATGTTTTATTTTACTTTTATTTATTTTATTTATTTATTTCAAAATTTTATTTATTTATTT